AACATCCCAGTATACATGTCTGTTTACTTGAGGATAATTCTTTAGTTGCTGGGTATTGCAACTATTCCACTGCAATTCTCTTTTGTAAAAAGAGTTTATTTGGAACAATGTTGTTGTTCCAAAAAACATCCCAGTATACATGTCTGTTTACTTGAGGATAATTCTTTAGTTGCTTGGTATTGCAACTATTCCACTGCAATTCTCTTTTGTAAAAGGAGTTAATTTGGAACAGTGTTGTTGTTCCAAAAATTATCCCAGTAGGGGAGACCGGGGCTAGTTGACTAAGTTTTCACATCTTATTTTTTTTGCAATTTATTATTTGATTGTTGTTGATCTGTAGCATGTCAAAAGTTCGTAAATTATTTATGCATTTGATTTCTATTAATAATTTTGGTTTACTATAACTAGGAACAAAAATATTTGACACTTTCAGATTGATGAACAGATAAGTCAACTAGCCCCGTATACGGGGTTAGTTGACATACACAAAGGGGTTAGTTGACTTGATAATGCCTTTTAGTTTTCTAATGAGAAAAAACAATGTAGTTATAAAATAAATGTTTATTATCTTAAAACACAAAAGCAGTAGTGCGATAAACAAGAAAAAACAGTTAAATAATAAAAAAATGCCTACAAATCATCATCTGAGTCGCAGTTTATGCACCTATAAAAAATGTGATTTGAGTTGCCGATACATTTGTCATGGGCCCATCTGTGGCAGCTTGTGCATTGCACCCACTCCTCACCACTTGTGCTAATACAATAAGATTCGTCGCATACCAGGCACTCGGTCTCATCGTCCGATTCTGAAGATGTCTCGTCTTTTGTAGTGATGCGAGATGTAGATGCGACTGGTTCTTCCTCGCGGAAAAGAAACCTTCGGCCGTCGTTAACTTTGACGCTTTTTATATTTTTCTTCTCAGGCTTCTTTTTCTTCTCAACATTATTTTTTTTCTTGGACGGTAACTTTCTTTTTTTCGTATTCTCTTTTTCTTTTTGTAGCGCGTCTTTGATGGGAGTGTCGGTTAAAATAGCAGTTTGTCTCTTTTTTCTTGCTTTCCTGGTATTTTGTCTCGGGCCAGCTTTGGGAAACGGCCTGACTTCCTCAGGACTTAACAAAGCGTCTTTACGAGTTTCTTCAGTTGGTTCATCCACTTCGTTTACTTGGTCTTCTTCCACTTCATTCCCTTGGGCTTCTTCTACTGCATTCACTGTTTCTTCTTCCACTTCATTCACTGTTCCTTCTTCCACTCCGTTTGCTTGGGCTTCTTCCGCTTCGTTTACTTGTTCTTCTTCCAATTCGTTCACTTGTTCTTCTTCCAATTCGTTTACTTGGCGTCTGTCAATTTCACCTCCTTCGGGGTTGGGTCCTGGTCTATCTGTCACATATGAGGCCAAAAATTCAATGTCCTGGAAAATATTTTCATTGTAAGGGCAAATTCCTGTTTTTACAAAGCCCGCCGTAATATTTGTCGGGGTAGCAGCCAGTGGGAGCGTCATTTTGACAATTCCTGGGATGTCGTATATGGAAAAAGTCTTGCCCGCATTATTCACCATCCAATTGTCAATAGCTGAGTTACAGTATTTTTTCAGTGGTCCATAAACGCTTCTGTCTAGTGGCTGTAATTTATGGGAACAGTGCGGTGGGAAAGATAAAACTGTTACACCATTTTCCTTACAAATATCCAAAGCTATTATTGAAAGATGGGACTCGTGATTATCGAGCAATAAAAGTACGGGCCTTTCCTTCGAACATCTTACATGGTGGATAAAATGGTTAACAAATTTGATAAAATGTTCTTCTTTCATCCAACCAGATGGATTGGCATCCCCCACGCTTCCAACAGGTCCGTCTCTGATGAAATGGTCACGAAAGTTCACCCTTGGGAAAATAAAAAATGGCGGAATAGAATTGCCACTTGCAGACACTGCTACAGTTAAAGTTACAAGCGTTCCTCTTTCGGCGGACGTGAGTTTTCCTATCTGCTTAAAACCACGTCTTGCAATTATCCTGTCTGGTTTCTGGACCGTTGTTATGCCTGTTTCGTCGACGTTCCATATATCTGAGGGTTCTAGATGTAAACGATTATAAGCGGTCTTTAAATTGGAGAAAAACATGTTCACATTTGTTTTGTTGAAGGAAGTAGCTCTTGACAGGCTGGTTGCTTGTGGGCATCTTAAAGATAGAGTATTATTTCTTTTCATAAAAGCAGAAGCCCAGTCTGCACCTGCCATTTTATTCAAAGTCCAGCTTGCCGGAACCTCAAACTTATTTGCGCTAGCGTATTGATATGCGAATTTTCTAAGTTCCTTAGGTGTTAATCCGTAGTAAATATCCGATGCTCGTTTCAGGTAATCAGCTAACAGATTTTCGTGTTGTTGAGAAAAAATTTGTCTTTTATTAAAATACCCAACACGTTCCAATTCAATTTCAGCACCATTTCCGTTCTGGATTCTGGCTTTTTTGACGTAGCGGTCAAGGGTTTTTTGTGGGATAGTGAAGTCTTTGGCAACGCTGTTAACACTCCTACCTTCGTTAATGACCATTCTGACTGCCCTTAACATAATATCTGGTGGTGTTTTGCCTTTTTCAGTTTTTCTCTTGTAAGTTCGCATGTTTATGACTGTAACAAAGAAGATATTACAGTAGGTAAAACGAGAATAATAGAGACAGCTGGCAACGTCACCGATTCGATTTTCAAATTCAGTGGCCCAAATTACCATATTATAACAAAATTTTATCAATGTCATTCCGCCGGTTTCTGAGATAATCAACCTTCTCGTATTTTTTACAGACCAAAATTTACCTAGGGGTTAGTTGACTACCATAGTCCACTAACCCCATATATGCTTAGTCAACAAGCCCCGTATGATGTAACCATACTTTTTAGGCTGCATCTAAATACACGCGACCAGCTGTATGGTTGAAATATATAAAATCATATAGTTAAGTGATCTAGTTTTCAGAAAATATTGATAAGAACGAATAAAACTGAACCCAAAGAACAATAATTGATAATTTATTAGTACAAAAATTATTACTTACCAAGGATGATTTTGGATAAATTATTCTCACTGACACAAAACACGACCGTTCATCACAGGGATACCTCTAATGGCGGATCTAATACCGATAAGTACAAAAATTGCATTTGTGGCACCATCTACTAGATTACACAAAAATTACAGGCAGTTAGTCAACTAACCCCATTAGTCAACTAGCCCCGGTCTCCCCTACACATGACTGTTTACTTGAGGATAATTGATTGGTTGCTGGGTATCGCAACTATTCCACTGTAATTTTCTTTTGTAAAAGGGGTTTAGCTGGAACATTGTTGTTGTTCCAAAAAACATCCCAGTACATATATCTGTTTACTTGAGGACAATTCTCGGGTTGTTGGGTATTGTAACCCTATCACGCAACGAGTTTTTCCTCGCCTCATTTGCCTCGGTTCCGACCTGTAATATTGTTCGAAATCTGCAAGAAGAGAGCGTAGAAAGTTTAGTTCTGCTGCAGCGAATGGGATTTCGGGTTCGTCGTGTAAATTTGCTACCGATATGGCCACTGAAAGTGGACCTTGGCTCAAGATAGTGTCCAACTCTAAAGGCACCGTAGAGATCTGGAACCATTCGGTTCATCATTGTCCTAGTCCGAAGTCTTTTTTGGGATGCCAGTTGCTTTATTGGGTTAAGCAACAGCCGTTTTTGTTTTCCATGGTTAATTGTACAACTTTCCAGGTTGTACTGGAAAGGAGGTTCCGCCAAAATCACCCCGCTGGCTCTTTAACCCATTTACGGCCAAGGATAGAAATAAACCTCAAATTGTTTAAAGAATATATTTAGATTATCAAAACACATTACATTAACACATATAACGCATCAAAAAACCAATAAATCAGCTACGTCATGAAATAAGTGGTGTTGCGTAAACGCATCAATGGCCTATAGTGTTAAGTGATATTGCCGGAAACAGTCGGCGTGTAAATAAACTGAACATCGCTCACAAATATAAATTGTTTGACTTCTGCACACACGACATCTTCTCCGGGAGTCAGTTCTACTGATAACATGTCCGGACTGATCAACCCTCACTTCATTGGGTGGTTCTGATGGAAGGACCCTAGCGAGAAAGTTCTTTGTTTTTAGTAATCGTACTGCGATGAATGATTTGAAATTCAGTTGCGACATCTTATCCTGATGCACGATATTGTAGAGTTTCCATGAATTCACGAGAGTACTGTCGATTGTATTTATAAATAGTGGCCACCACCATTTTTTACCCATCACGCCGATTCTATAATTTGCCACGCCATTATCATGCAACAGGTTTGCCTTTTATATACATCTTACAAGAATGACGTCCAAAATAAGGAACCATCTGCTCATCAATGGACAAGTTGAATGAAAAAATGCCAAACTGTGAGAATTTTCGATTCATTATATCAACTTGTCTGCTTTATCCAAGTTATTATTATCGCTCAAGTGCAGGTTTCGCTTTATCGATCTGAACTTATTCCTACTCATGCAGTCTCTCACAATATTCACGGTTTTGTCCTCATCCAAAGACCAATACATATCCGTCTGTGGCAAGCTGTGATATCCAGATAAAATTAGAATCCCCAGGAAATTTAGCAGTTCTTCTCGTGATAGATGAAACTCGTGTCTGTTATTATCCTGTGCGTATTTCTCAGAAAACTGGATTATCAAATCCATGACATCCACGTCAAGGAACTTGAAGAAAATTTCTAACGGTGACAAATCCCCCAATTCACCCTCCAGTTCTATAATGTGTTCCTCTTCTTTGGATAGAGGCAAATTTTGGTGCACAAATGATCCAGATCTCCAAGTCGGTTTGAAACTTACTGCCTTGTTTTCTAGAATTTTCCGACGTTTTGTTGCCAAATCTTCTTCGTCAGATTCGTCATAAATATCATCTTGAGCGGTGTGGATCTCGAAGGTTCCTGCTAATGTCTCCATTCTGGCTATTTACGATATTTTCCGGGTCCTCTGAAAGATCCTCTTCGTCAGTGAGTTGATCTACCTCCGGTGGAATGTAGACAGCGTCAATTTGCTCTGGATATCATAAAATAATGTTGAATAATGTATAACAAAAAAAAAGAGTCAAGAGTGCTTACCATTTTCATCGTGAAGCTCGTCTAGCTCGTCTAGCTCCTCCTCCAAGGCCAACTCTAACTCCTTTTGCGTGAGAAATTTTCTCATTTTTCACAATAAACAACAAAAAAATATAAAGACTTTGGGTAACACGCACTCGATTAGATGCAAACTCAGACTAAAAACTGCATCTTGTCAATTAAGTTATCTGCTCGAGAAAACGGAAAACTTGTCCTGACAGGCTTGCGACACGGGATTTCACTTATTCGGCCGGCGATGCGTAAACGCAACAGCCTAATTCAGGGCCTACTCAGGAAAAAACAGGTCCAATTAGACCTCAGTTTTCAATTTGATAGTGTTACTGGGAATGTAGTTGGTGAAATAAAAATAATAAAACCTTGAATATAAAAACTTGAAAATGAGTTTTTGATTTTATAAAATTTTGTAGCCATTCGAGCTTTTTCAACATTTCCCAAAAAAAAGGCAAATGAAAAATTTCCATTAAATATGATTTTATCAACCTTGTTCAACATTGGTTCAATGGTATTAGCCCATAGTTCACGCTAAAAAACCGTCCATTTTTCATGAAAAAATAATAAGTGCGGTGTTGCCTATACGCATCACCGGCCATAAATGGGTTAAGGAAAATGCTTGCGAGAATTACGTCGTGGCACCACAAAACCGACTTTTTAAAAACAAGCTTTTATTTTTCGGACCGACCTTATGCGTACGGTTATACCGATGGAAAACTAGCTTGAAAATAACAATTAGTTCATTTTATAAAGTAATTAAGCACATGCAGCAGATAAATATAATAAGCTAAGCAATTCTGAGCACGTAACTCGAGCCAGCAGCCTCCAGAAAACAATTCGAGATTTGAAGTTATTTTTGGGATGAATGAGGTTTTTCCTAAAACCCCTCTGAAAAAGTCAAGCTAGAGGTATGCGTTTAATAAACGTTCCACCTCCACTAGAATTAGATTCTTTTCAAAATGGGCCGTATTTCTTATACCAAACCTGGGAAATACCGTGTTCGGTAAAAAAAGCAACTAACTTGCTGGTCGTTTAATGGCTGCAGGCCTTTCTGGTAAATGGATGTTATCGATTATGATTTTTTACTTCGGCGGCACGATGTGGATGCTGGGCTATCCAGGTGGTCATAAATAAAGCTCTGGTCGAATGGTGGGTAGATGCTTCTGAGGTTTTTGCGATCTCTTCTAACCTAGTAGATCGCATCTTTGAATTGAATACTCTCACAGTCGCCATTTTTGGGTCTATCGATTTGTGAGGATCTTCAGTAGTTCCTGAGAATATTTGCGGAACTCCGCGAGAAGGCCTATTGATCAAGTTTTGACTGAATAGATTATTATTCAGCGAAAGCATGGACCCCATTCTTATCCGTGGATTTTTCGATTTCGGTTTATTTCCGAAATTTTTGACGCGCTCCTCAGTGCCAAAGCTTTTTGCTTTAGGAGTGGCAAGGGATTTAACGTTTACAGCTGATTAATAACTTTTCTCGGCGTTGACGGCAAGTTAGTGGAAACTTGCTTCCAGTCCCTTTGTAAGTTTGAAGTATTCGTTCGACTTTTTCCTAATTTGTCAGCATCACCATCTTCATATAATTCAGATAGAAATTGTCTGTTAAAACTTATTGGAGCCATGGACTCTACAATTGTCGGTCTTGAAAGTGTTGGTGACGTGGGCGTGAGACCGTCACTTTGTATGCGTTTTTAAGCAAGAGTTAACGACATCACTGAGCATGTTGATCTCTTGTGAAATGGAAACTTTAAAGAAAAAAAATACTGGTTCAGCTCATTGTTGTTAATTTTTGTATCGAAAAAATTGATATCAAAATATGGACAGTAGAGAAGGACATGAATGAAATTGCTAGAGTTCTAATGTTTTTTGCTAACCATAACGAAAACAATGGGGCTGTCCCGCTAAATTAAAATGAATGTTTCTAATGTAAGACAAGTACTTCTACTACACTAACATACCGTTTAATATAGTTATTATAATTATGCATTGAAAAATAACAATCTTATTTAAGAATGAACTTTTGCCATTATTTGAAATTGAAGTTATCGCGCCTTTATGACGTGTCATGATTCCAGCCAATAGGAGAGGAACAACAATAATCCATAACGACCTTAACCCTGAAAAATAGGCAACCAGATATACACTTTTAATTTTTTCCAATAATGATTTGATACACTGAACTGATAGATTTCAATGTCATCAACGCCCCCTTATTGGTTGATTTCTAGTTCTGGCGAAAGATTGGGAGACTAATATTATTGGTCAGAGTCATGTGACGTCACGTTGCGCGCGCGTTTCAAATAGATTGGTTTATCGGCGAGTTCGATATTTTTTTTCTTATTGAATAACGCATGGTTGATCAAATTATTGTTATATACATTTTATATTGTATTCAGGCATTTTGAAAACCCAATAAAAAATAAATGCGGGACGGCCTCATTAAATATCTAGTATGAAAAGCTTTAAAAAACCAGTATTATTTAGGACCTAAAACATCAAAATACACAGAACTCTTAAATTTCATTCCACCTCCACTAGAATATTAGATTCTTTCCAAAATGTGGCCCTTCTTATAAAAAAAAAAGAAAAAAACAACTCACTTGCTGGTCGTTTAATAGTAAATCGATCATGATTTTTTTTCTTTGGCGGCACGATGAGGAAGCTGGGCCGAATGGTGGGTAGTTGCCTCTGAGGCTTTGTCTGACCCGGTAGGTCGCATCTTTGAATTAAATACTTTCACAGTCTTTGCCATTTTTGAGTATGTCGATTTGCGATTAAGTATGGAAAACGTCGGTTTCTTGACGTCACTAGGAATCCTTGCCGATTTCTTTCTATCTCTCAACCTCCTCTGTTCGGCTTTTTTCTTTTTTATTGGAACGATCCGCATCTGTAGTGCTACTAGTATGGCTGTTTCTTGATTTTGATAAACTTTTTTTTCCATCGTGATCTCCATTTTTCCCTTCAACTTTACTGCTACTGTAGTATAACATACCCGGGTTCGCTCAGTAAGATTGACCGATGAGAATTTGTATTACTTTTTAAACAACAAATCTTCTGAAAAATTATATGAAAAACTAATAGGCCCTACGTTGTGGAAACTTACTCAATTTTACTTACTGGACATGCGCCCGACATAGCAAATATTTGGGAAATTTAAGGGAAGTGGTGATATGTAAAAGAAACGAAAAATTTGTGAAACGTCTCCTTTATTATCAAAGAAAAACGTACCGTTCTCGACCTGGAACTAACGAGGGGAAAGAGCACGGCTCAAAAATCGAAACATACTGTGTCATTTTAATAATAATTGTGTCATTTAATTAATAATTTAAGTCAATAAAAGTTTAAATTAGGTACCGCCCCTGTTCTTGTGCTAAAATTTTAATTACGCACACTACATTCAATCCACACTACCTATAATCAATACTGAAGAGTTTTTGTTAGTTATCCGGTCTGCCGGAAGGTACTGAGGTCCCATACGGGATGCTACCCAGCTATAGTTGTTTTTGAGCCAATATCTCTAGATTGATTTTTCTCAATTTGCTAGGATATTCTCTCGTCAGGGTAGGAAAATGTTAGTAAATTCAACAAGGCTCTAATGTACGCTCTGAATACACAAAATCAAAATCTCAGCACAAAAAGACAGCACATAATTTCTTAGGTTCTAATTTACTCTTTATCTGTGTTGTTTACAGCATGAAACGATTTTGGTTAAATACATAAACAATGCACATGTTATAAAAAGTGTTATAAACAAACAAAAAATACATAAAAATGAACAAAATAATAGGAACTTGCATAAATTGAACTCTCAAAAATAAAATAACATTTAATACACTAACCTGTCGACGCTCCTTACACACACACTAATAACAAAATGGACTGAACAATCAATTGTAATGCAAAATAGGAATGAAAATTGAATAATGAATAATTACAGACACGCGACATGTTTTCTAAACGACCAGTCTAGCGCGTTCTCTCGTCTAGTTGCGTATTTCTTCTACTTCCCCTTCGTACGCTTTTTTTTTTGTGGTGCCTCTAGGTGCGTCCCTACTTGACGGCGTATTACATGGTTGCAACATTTATTTTTATTCAGTAAACGTTTTTTTTTTAAAGTTAAGATTTGTAGAAATAATATTTTAAATAGGTGGTTTTCATCACTACTGAACGATTTGGGGCTATAGATGACACCGTGATCATATCGATCGGAATATTTACCTTGATTATTGGGCACCCCTCAGCCAACCAAAACTATTCGGTCCGTACATGAGCCTTAGAGGTCCTGAAATAAGCTGCAATACAGGCTAGTGTATAGCGCCGCCCATAAAAAAAATAACTAAACTAAAATTAAAAAGTTCAGCGGAACTGAACAGATTATAAATAATAATTGTCAATATTTATTGATGATGGAGTAGGTAGTAGATTAAATGCGGATCTGTAGCTTCACGAATGATGTAGGTACCTCTAAGAAGCCCCCTTCTCTCAGACCAATGATGCTTGGCGTGTTCGTATTGTTGACCGGCCGGCCATTGAAACGAAATCGTACAGCACGAATATTAAATTTGCTGGAATGGAAAAATAAACATAAATGAATCAACCGCCAATAATAATTAGGTATTGGTATTGAATCATTTGTTCGCTCTGAGCACTGATTCAATAATTGAGCTTCTAGTAATTAGGGGAGAGTGGTCTGTAACAAAACGCCCCAAGTACTCTAAGTAAATAGTTAGATGGTAAATGGCGAGCGGTATATTGATGGTGTTTATATACTTGGAGTTGCTATCTAATCTGTGGAAGGGTCTATTTGCAAGAGAGAGAAACAAACTAATGAGGTGTACTAACTTATATTTTATTTTACATAAAACCCAAAAATCAGCCAAATATCTTCCAATCCTTTACATCCTTCTTTATTTCTATAAAATCAATTACTTCACATCCGTTCTAGGTTGTTATTTTACGGACCACTGAAATATCCCTACTAAGTAAGAAACGTCCTATTCCTACTATTTCTCATACTTATAATTTAACTCATTTCACTTCATTCAAATCATTCCTAATAACTACCCTTTACCTAATTAAATAATTCTTTAAAATCTCTAAGTTCTTTACTGATTACTTATGGAAACCCAAAATAATTACCTATTTGTTTATCAACTAATTTATTCTCATAAAACCTCACAATAACTTCTACTTGAAAAATAAAACCCCTAATTTAAAAGTTCGGCACTTAAAATCATCAATGTCTCTTGATGAATAACAAATTTCAAATACAACTTTTCAGTATGTCTAATGATAATCGTTAGAAGTTTTATCTCCTGAATGACAACAGTTCTTAAACTAACCACTCCATTACATTGAATGATAATCGTCAACAATCTTGTTTCAAACACAAGTTTCTTTTCTACACATCCCATTTCCTTTTCAACAGAACAAATTCCTATCATAAGTTTCCTTTAACAACTTTCCAATATTTTGAGACAATTCTATTATTCAAGATTTCCTATTCCATTTAATTAGAACAATTACAAATTCTCGCCATCCTGGTTAACATACAAAAATTATTTAAATTCTTATGAGTTCGTTATTATAGCCCTTAATTTTCAATTGGACAAACCAGTTCAAACTTCTTTAATAATCCCTACTCAAATCCAAGCTATTTATGTTCTGTTAAATGCATTATAAAGTGTCTTCATATTTTCTTTGCACCATTAAATGTCATTATATCTGAAGGAAATTAAAGTTACGCGATAATGTATTACGTGGCAACACGGACACTGCCACTTTGTTACCCGCAAAACGTAACGGAGAAGTCAATAATAAGATTTTGAGGAGATGGGAAAGTTAATGGTTAATTAACACGTTGGCTACCAATGCTATAGCGAGATTTCTACCCTGGTGTACCATGTGAATCACCGGTGAACAACTCGATTAGTTCATTCGTAGACCAAATGTATCACATGTGATATCGTGCATAATGATGTTTAATGGGTTTTTAAATCCCCCGGTACAGAAAAGCAGGCAAATAGAATATGACAGAGGTATCTAAATACACCAAATAATTTGTAGGTCAAATGGGCATCACCGGTGATTCATCATAGTCAAGTTATACATGAGAAATTAAAAAAGTAGTAAAATATACAGTCTAATAATATATATATTCAAATAAGGACATAACACAAAATAAAAACATAAAAGTATCAACTTAGTGCCTTTTTTGAAAACATTCTAGACATAGCGCAGGTGAATTTGGACACTCGTTGCAGAAAGTGGAAACTAATTTTGCCTTCTTTGCCGCTACTTTCGATGTTTTGTTAACAGCATATTCTATGTCATAACACCCAACACATCGTCTTCTCTTTTTTCGATTGTCTTTCGTTTTTTCAACTATCTGATTCAATATATGTTTGGTTTTTTTGCTGCTTCCTTTTTGATTATCTATAATATCACCAAGTAAACCTGTCACAAGTGCCTCTCTAAAATCTGCTATTTGAATTTTTTT